ATTCATTTTATGATTTAATAGCTTTAATAACCTATCATGTACCTATATATTAGTATCAGAATAAATTGAAAATTAAWKAATTTAGTGTTATTATTAGCTGGTTTCCCGTTTTATTCGTTTTATGTTTTGTACAATAACTAGCCACTCACATTTTTGATTGGCTAATATCAAAATATTAATATTAAACGTTGCAGTGTTTTTTCCGTGGTCAATTGTAGGCAGCTCTATCACGTGTCAAATGTAAACAAAATCTATTTGTGCTGGCCCCAGAAGGCAAGACATTTAACGTGATGTATCCAGAAATATTTAATGCTTAAGATAAATTGATATAATTGACAAAAAAATAAAAACCATTCATCATAACGAAACAAATATATTCCACAATTATGTATAAAATTATACTAAAAAAATTTACCAATTTAAATATCTGATATAATTCATATCAAATTTTTCGCATAGGTATTCCTAAACATTTATAAATATACTGAAATCTAGCAATAGCAAAGCATTGCCGGGTCAGMTAATTATACTATATAATTTATAACATTATATTAATATGATGGACTATATGTATTGCATTTGTATAGTGTCATTCAGTACAAATTAAATTATTTTATGATATMGGCTCGTTTGTTACAACGTAAAAATCAAGGGTACAAATTTTAACCCATCGTGCAGCAACTATCATTTGTTAAAACTCATAAGTACTTATTATTCGTGCACCGTATACTATATACTATAATATACTACATATTATAAAAATTATATTATAATGTTAGGAAATTTAAATTTATAAACGCAATACATATAAGCATAGGTAATAGGTACAAATTAACAAYTTATTTTATATTCATAATTTAAAATTTACGTTATATTTTTTAGTAAAAATATTAAAATTTTAGTGTTTCAAAAATGAATTCTTATCTAAATGTTGGTGAAATTTGCAATACCATACAATTTCCTAAAGGATACGTTTTTTTTATTATTATAGGTATTTATATTTTACATGGCAATATCTTAAAATTCTATACATAATACATAGTATAATACAATACATTTATTACATAWWTTTATTCAAATAATATAGGTATCCAATAAATATATTATAATAAAAAAAAATGTTTAYAATATTTGTGTACTTTGGTTATTATATATTATTATATCATTTAAAATTCAACACGTTGTGCATGGGACATGCGTCATCTCACTTGCAATAACTTTCTAAAAAAAAATAAAAAAAATTTTAATTGTTTTTTAATACCAAAGTCCTATTATTTATTTGAACAATAATTTACCTCTATTATCTACTTAAACTTATAAATAACAAATAATAAATAATATATTATGTACAATACCTAAATTATACGACTATTGAACTATATTGAACTATA